ATGGGATGAGTAATGTTTGCAGATCATTTGCCATTGTAAGTGGTCAAGTATCTACATTCTTTATTCTCATTCAAAAAGTCATATAGAAGCTAAAATGGTGAGAAAAAAGAAGACAAACGACAGCAACGCAAGGGAAAGCAAGTGGAGTCCTCAAGGAGTAATCAATAAATTTATATACGTATAAATATATTCTGTGTAGTAACTATCATTACATTGGTACACTAACTAACTAGTCCCGTCATGCTAACTTTTACATTACGTATGAGCTAATATTATTGTCCTGTGAAGAAGTGTTTATCATGTACTTCCAATAATATTGATATTTAAACGTAGTTTGATGTAACTTGTACCTTTAATGAACTTAAAATATCTATGTAGGGCGAAAAAGGGAGTGTAGATTTCAGACGCAGGAGTGCATTGTCATCTTTGGGCAGTCTGGTGACTGGGGAGATGAACACTGCGAGTGTGTCTGCATCACGCACATCAGCTGGTAGTCTATTCCAAATGACTGAAAACTTATTTAAGAAGAAATTATACCGCATGCTCTATAGCAGCTAGGTTGTCATGATTTCTGAGATTGTAACTGATGATGGCAGTAGATCTAGTTATTGGTTCGGAGGAGTGCAAGAGGAGATTAGTTAGCCTGTAGTAGAAAACAAGATTTGGCTTAGGACGTCCTTTCCAGAGTGGTTCTAATCTCAGTCTATTGCAACCTTCAGAGTATTTGAGACTACATTCTAAACCAAGAGTTCTTGAGGTAAATTGCCGTTGCACTCCCTCTAATTTAAGCTTATCATTCTATCGCAGTCCTCTAAGCATAAACGGGCAGTATCTCAAAATAGGTCGGATACATACTTTGTGTAATGAAACCATAGTTTCACAACAAAAGAAATTCTGAGTTATGCATCCTAGGAGCCTTCGTGTTTTACGTCTGGCATAATCAATTTGTCAGAGAACGTTGAGTTTGATGCCGAGATCTATGAGTGAGTTGAGATTGTCTAGTTTTTGCCCATTAACTTCTAGAGTTATGTCAAGATTACTGTTGCCGATTCAAATCTAGCCGCATTTGTCAGTGTTAAACTTTAGACAGGATTCAGCACACCATGTTCCGAGACCACTTAATTCAAGACGTATTTTACTTACCATGTGGTTTAATTCATGACTGTAGCAGGAGTAAACAACTTTGAGGTCGTCAGCATCTAGGAATGGTCTACCTGAGGCGAAGCAGTTGCAAATGCTGTTAATGTAGACTGTGAATAAAAGCGGTCCTAGGACACTACCTTGCACAACCCCACTTTTCATCTGCCTAGGATGAGACAATACAGATCCGACGTTGGTTATTTGTATCCTGTTGCTTAGAGATGACTTTAACCAGTTCAGTTATGGTTTGCAAATTCCACATGAGTACAGCTTCTCAAAGAGAATACTGTGAGATGCCATGTCAAATGGCCTAGATACATAAAAGTGGAGAACAGCGACTAGCTCACGTGCTTCGCGACTACTGGTGATGCTCTTCAAAGGGTCGAAGTGGCAAGTAACGCAAGACCTATTTTTGAGAAATCCGTGTTGAGACATTGTAACAAGATCTTCCCTAAGTAGATAGTCTGACAATTGATCTTTGACAACTCTCTTCATGATTCGCGAGGCAACTGGGGTTATATTTATAAGTCTGTAATTTCGGACGTTTGCCTTATCTCCGGATTTATAGTGTGCAATTATGAAGCCAGTTTCCCACTCATCAGGCTAATTGCCAGTGTCAATAGATATTGAGAATTTAAGAAGTAATAGGGGAACATCACACCCACTGTTTTTGAAGATTATTGAAGCAAGGCCATCCGGTTCCTTGCTAGTAGGAGGTCTACGGCTTTTAATACTTGTTATATCAACTGATTGGTGAACACTATGCTTCCGAGGGGAGAGCTAGTAAGGAGGGCGGTTTCACCAGGGATGCGCGTTCCTAAACTAAAGTTCGCAAACCATTCACTGAAATGTTCACAGATGGCTATAGGCTAACCTTAGATTACTTTGTCGTGAAGTAAGTAGGGGATATCCTTCGTCAACTGCATTCATTTTTTAAGAAGTGTTGTTAGGTTATGCAATTTGGAGGTAATTCTAGGTGCACTTAACTATTCGTCGAGGTCCTTTTGAGAGCGTAGGTGCTTCATACATTCAGGTGACTCGTGGATTGAGTGTAGTAGCGGTACATCCTTAGTGGAATAGTGCTGTTTCATCAACTTCCTTAACTTATTGCGGTATGCCCTTGGAATGCATTCAAGCTGGATCCAGATTCGAGAGATGAACGCTTCTGCCTAGTAGCCACTGAATTGAAAAGTTTTCAATTTTGGCTACTTCCTAGCAATTTGAATCGATACACTGCTGATAAAGGCTGTCAATAGTACACGCTACGGCCTTACTTCCCGGTAAATTCGGAAATATTGGGGTCTCACGAGACCACCATATCATTATTCATTTTGAATCAAACATTACTCTCCATGAAGAAGAATAGTTTTTAATGAGATGCAGGTCTTGTATAGCAAGAAAGCTGTTATCAAGGAATGATTTAGTATCATGGTGGCATATGAATGTCCCAGCTGGTGTGACCATCCTCTACCTTGCTAATGCATCTGCCATATTCCTTGATTGAATAGACCAAACCAGTATTGTTGGTTTGCTCCTTTCATGGTTGGTAAACCACCATTGGCAATTCCGTGCCGAAGTCGCCCCTTCCCAGGCACAGCTGAGCTCCAGATGTCTAGCAAGTATCTGCTCTAAGGCTCTCAATTTACTGTGCTGTACATCAGTGTTCTGACACGCTATCTGAACTTTGTAACTCATCTGGCAAACCTTTGAAAGGCGAAGCAAGATTTGGAAGATTTACACGGGTTTCACGCCAACCCTGAACATCAAGAAGATTCGAAAATTGACAAAATATCCCTCAAGCTCATTGAAATTCGAATTGATCAAATCATGCCAACCGACACCGCAACAGTTAATGTATATCCTAAGGGAGATAAGATGATTCTTTACAGTTTCGGAGCGCGATTTCGGTCCTATTTTAAAGGAAAGACTGGGTGCACGCTAGAATTAGTTGAGTAACGTGGCCAGAATGCTTTCAGCTATGTAATTTTTGCAAACGTATTTCAGACCAGTGGTTTTCGAAGGTTCTGTTAGACCTACGTACGACCGCCCCATACGTTGCGCGATATTGTCACTCCGCTGTCAGTTGAGCAGGAACTTCAGAACAGGGCAATGAGGGAATTATGGGCCTTCGGAACAAGACATTTAGCTTCTAGAATGCGCCTCCGCATAAGGCGAAGGTTTGGCAGCTTTATAGCAGTCCATGGACGGGAACTAAAATGCTATTCACTCAACCGAAACGACATGAGTACCTCATACTAAGCACTATTGATGAGTTTGAAACTAAAATCGTCCCTGGAGCGCCAACAAATTTCCATGTCTCACCCTCCTAAAAACTTACCTGATTCATCCATTTGGTATTTTCATTCTGAATTACTTATTCGTTTTTCACATTTACATATATTTAATTCCTTATATTATTACTAATACTACTACTAGTGTGGTGAGAGCAAGCTGCTAGCCAATTGGTAGACATTGATCTACGCTGATTGGTGGAAATTAATTTAGGCTGATTCAACAACCGATCACAGCTGACCTAGACGTGGACAAATATGATTCGCAGACAAGTGGCTCGCATTTCCGAGAAATATCGAAAACGAGAAAGCAGAAGACTGCGTTTGTTTGCAAACAACCAATCAGAAGACCGCCTTCTTTCTGCGGACAGAGCCTTATTAATGTACGTAAAATACATATAAATACCTGTTGGTTTTCGTAATAAAACTGATCTGTTGCCTGGCCCTTGTCTTCTGTTGTTACACTAGTACTGTGGCATTTGCTTCCGATAAGATTTATCAATAGTATATAAACGGACTTTCATGAGCACAAAATAACAAATAGAAGGGAGATGCGTTTGACGTCAGAGAAGGTAAATGATACGGCGTTGTGGATATAAATGGGAGATGTGAAAGGAACACAATATGAACGGGAGAAGCAGCACAACATGGAAGATCTGTGCAAATAGTGATTTGAAGATGAAGTGTACATAATTTGGCTATATAGAAATACCAAATTCTAAACAAATATTCCTTTACCAAGTCTTTCATCTACCGTCTCAGTACTACTACTGCAATTGTTGTTGTCTATATGGCTATTACTATATGTCCTTTCGAACACAAAGAGTAACTAACGTGGATAAAAACAGTGTTGTGGTTTCAATATCTCATACTTCAAACCAAATGTAACCTACCTCCCAAACCACTCCCTTCAGGATCTGTCAAAAATATGGAAAACGGTGGCACTAACAAATCTGAAGCCAGTTATAGGTCAAGAATAGTCACGTCAGTACCTAGAAGAGAGTCCAAAGAAATTAGTTTGATCTTTTAAGAGTTCACTGTGAAGTTTCCAATGGATTCAGTTGGATACGCATTAAACAGTTTATCTTTCCCTGAAATGGCTTAAAAATACGTCCTAGTTGTTATCAGTTGCTAAGTTAGACTAGTTTTTGTACATGTATTCACCGAGATGACTACAGATAAAACATAAAAATAAATAACATCAACTTTTAATCTATCCCTAATCGTAACCATAAGCTTAATCCTCACCCTGACACTAAACCTAACCTTACTCCTAACCCTTATTCAAACGCAAATGCTTATAATAACCCTAATCCTAACCCTTACGAGCTATTAAAACATTGTTCAAACAGTAGTTAAAAACGTGATCTGGGTGAAATTTGCTCCTAAGTTGGTGAATAGCGTTGATATTTCAACTACGATAATAACAGGTGCTGTTAGACAACGACTAGCATGCGTTCAAGGTCGTTGGAGCGTTCACACTTCTGGGACTCTATTGTTGAACTTTGCCTTTAATACTCCAAAACAAATTGTGTTACACAATGTCATATGAAATTTCAAAAGGAAATATTTGCGTCTTTCACTAGTGAAACACAAAAGTATGCTTAGATCACAGTTCGCCATATGAACCGTCCGTTCAGCGGGTGATCCAACTAAGCCAATTGGATTTCCTTATGTCTCATGTGGGTTATTAGTGGCTATGCCCACCCGTCGTAAGAATTTAGACTTAAGCAGACTGAAACGTTCTTCTAAAAGGAATAGAATATGTGATTTATTCTCCTCCCCGTAAATATTTATATATTCTTAACCTGCTTTCATCACAGTTACGTGCAATACCTCTTAATATTCCTAATATGGGGGTTGTTGTTGTTCATAAATCGGTCAACAGATATGAGATTTGAGTACTTTTGGCCTGGATGGCTTTTCATATGCTCAATACATGACTCTATGAAATTCCAAGGAATGGTAAACGTTATGATTATTTACACAATGCATTTATAGCAATACACAATTGTTTTTATCATAATTGTGTTAACCGTAGACCTTGTCTGCTTCTTTGTGGTTCCTGCAACATGGGTTTATATTTGTGGTAGCGCATATGTCTGGGTTTATCTCTTGTGGCACACAGGTTAGTGTGGTTTTGAAATGTCCATTGTTTCTTTAGATCAAGGATTATGCTTCCTTACATTATCTTTGTGCTTCGTTTTTGTGTACTTTGAGCTTCATTTCTACCCAAAAGATATTAAGTCTAACCAAAGCATTTACCTTTTCCGCCCATTCGCAGCACATAGGTACTACTTCTAATTGTCTTAATTCAGTATAATTAGCATTGGTTACTCGGTAGTTTGTACGGGGTTTTCCATTAAACGGTACCTGGACGTAAGGTACCGCAATGTAAGTATTTTGAAAATTTATTTTAAATTACCAGTTTAAAAGGATTGACGTCAGGCGACAGAACTTTCTGCATTTCCGAATTCTTCACGAGGCCCTCCCACCCTCTGCTATAACTGAGAGCTGTTGTAAGTCTCTTAATTTCTAGTGCACTTACTACAGGCGTTCAAAACTGTCTGGATTATTTACAAAAAGAACTGCTTGAAGTCGATGGAGGAAAGATATCTGAAGATGTGAGTTTCTCTGATCCCTAACTGCACCTGTTATAATTTGACTTCATGTATAGGTTTCACTTACTAATTCATAAATTTGTGTCGAATTTGTGTCAGCAATTTACATGTCAGTACGTTTCTCATCTTCGGACATACCCATTACAGAGGTTTCTACACATCTCACTATCCGTTGTCGGCGACCATACCACGTTGAAAGCACCGGTTCTCGTCCGACACTATCCGTTATTGGTGGGACTCGCCGGTAAAGTCTAAGTGGTCAGTTCATTGCATGGCACCGTTGAATGAACGGTTATCATGTTTGTTCATCACTACTCCTTTAGCAGTTTCAGTAAAATTATACGGCCCAGTTATTAATAATTAAAGTCATTGTCTAATATGTCATGGTGTAGAAATTATCATTAAATGGACACTCGAATATCCCTGATAATTATGATTACCTGTTCCATTATATTATTTCCGAACTTTTACTTTTCTATTTTGTATTGTTGTTCTGTTATCTCATGCGACTCAATCTCCGGGGCTTATCGTATTTTTTTGGTAAATGAATATTCAGAAAATGTAGAACTAATAAAGCGTCGTCAGTGTTGTGCAATACCTACATGCTGGCTACAGCTATTCAAGAAATCATATCAGAAAGAGTTGATACATGCATGTTTCAAAGACGCTCATCAGACAGCTATGGAGGAACATAGAAAACTTCAAAAAGTTTGTTTGGCATCCGCACACATGCAAAACGTTCACTATTCAGTCATAAGCATAAGGTATCGTGACTGACTGAGTTTCAACATCGAACTTAACACAGAAGTGTGACAGTTCACATTACACACTCAAAGGTAAAGGAAAATAAAAGAATGTTCAAAAAACTATAACTAGCAGATATGTGAGGGAGAACGAAATAGTTGTAATATGACACATGAGGGCTAATGTGAATAAGGGATCTTAAGGAGTGAAAACATCTGCGCCACTGAGAACGATTTTGAGTCATATGACAAGTAGTTCCAACCCTAGGAAGTATTTAAAAGTGAAGCAACCAACCATAGTTGCCACTTCACCCGAACTGATTGACGCAAGAAGACTTATTCCGGCGAGCTCCGAATATGATGAAGAGCGAAAGCTGCTGAAATGCGAACCAACAAGAAGGCTTCGTGACGACCGTGAACAGTGGTAGGCGACAAAAGCGAACGAGATAAAAAAGGCATCGGCGATTGGTAATACCAGAAAACTATTTAGGCTTATCAGGGAAACCATAAGTGAAACAATCTGAGAAAAAGGACACTATAGCTCCCAGGATAGACGACTGAACACTGGAAAGAACACTTTGAGGAGCGATTCAATTGGCCTACATACAGCCACGTTCAACTTACCGAACATCCAACACTTCCCTGAATGGGATATAGACATAGGTCCTCGGTCCCTAACTGAGGTTACTAAAGCTATCACTACTCTGAAACGAGGTAAAGCTGCGGGACCCGATGGAATGACTCCAGAGGTGTTTAAGAATGGAAGAGACAGTTTGCTGTCTGTGTTAACTAAGGTCTTAGGCAGCGTCTGAGAATCAGAGGAAGTCCCGTCAGGTAGCTGTGTGATTGATTATCCCGATATACAAGAAGGGGTACAAGTCCTCCTGCGATAATCACATAGGGATTAGCTTGACTAATATGGTATCTAAAGTTCTAGGCTCAATAATAATTCGTCGACTAAGCGGTTCTCGGGAGGCACAAACACGAGAAAACCAGGAAGAGGGTATATTGATCAAATCATGGCCCTGGAACATAGGCATACTCCGCGGCTTCCAACAATCGTCATATTTCTTGATCTAAAAGGCGGCATCCGATTCTGTCGACCGAGAGGTACTATGGTGATGTTTGGCCGTGAAGGGAATGCCGAGAAAGTACATTGCACTATTCAAGGCAGCCAGGTAAGAGCTTACGGCGAGTTGTCTTTTGAAAAGGTGACAGCTAGCGGTGTTGACGAAATGCAATCTGCGAATGTTTGGCATGCGATTCTCCCCTACAGAATGTAAGATGATGCTACAGGACTGGAATACACTAACCCCTGGCTACGAAATACCAAGTGAAGTGGTACAGTGCGTCGATCATTTCACTTATTTGCGAAGTTGCATCAGCGCCTACGGGTTGATCGCTGACGAAATCTCAGCACGGATACAGAAGGTTAGTTTTGCATATGCCAGTTTTCGCCGTCTCTGGCGTAGACGTGATATCCGACTAGCTGTAGACTAAGGGGCGTGTGTAATGCTCAGAAGTCCTCTCCCTTCTTCTATATGGCTCCTCCATATTACTATTCTTTTTGCCTCATATTTCTGTTTATCTCTGTTTTAAATCTCTCTACTCTCTTCCCTTGAACTGCTGCACATAGGTGCAAAGTTCTACGTTCAAACCAGTCAGTCATGATTCTAAAAGCTTATTTGTTTTCATGTGCTCCTACAATGGTCTTTGTGGTGAATGTGTTTACAAACCTGCTTTGACTGGGTAAAGTAAGTTAGGCGGAAGGATTACTAAACTGTTGCAACAAAACTGGTTAAGCTGCAGAAGTGTGTTTGGCTTGATTTCACTCTTTTATAAGATGTTTAGGATAAGTTTGAGACAAACTGGAATTAATTATTTCAATATTTAATCAAAATCAGTGAGGCATCCTTTTTAAGTAAGCAGTCGTAAATCCTCAGGTTGAAATATGCGATAAAAACGAAATCGAAGTTAGGAGACATTTTTTAGTTTTTCTTGGAAGGCGCAGATGGATTTAAACCGTATTGCCATTTATCCGTTTTCAACCCATACTCTACTTTTCATTGAAAATTTGATATATATATATATATATATATATCAACTTTTTATCTTTTTGTCTTTCGCTAGTTTTCATCCGATGCCTCCAGTCGGTCAGTAGTTATGTTTCTCCGTTTTGGTCAGTCATGTCTCAGTTGTTTAGGTCGTTGGGCTTTCGGGCATTTTGGCACCGTTGACAAACACCACTCAGATTATGACAGGTATGTCATTCATTTTAATGTCATCCTACCATTTTAAAATCTACCCGACACCGGGCTTTCAGTGTGAATTGATAAACTGCTATAAATCAACATAGATCGTTGCGTGCTGTGCACTGCATTATTGTCTTCTTGAGTACTGATTTAATTTTGTGAACAAATGAATGCATTCAAATTCTAGTGGCAAATATAAGATCATCGTTGCTCATTGCAATTGATGCTATCTGGTCTCAATATCGTGTTAATATTTGTATAAAGTCCAAAGTTATTCTGCCTATATATATATATATATATATATATATATATAGTTTTCGGTTGTCACTCCGGTGTCATATTCCAGCAGACATTATGCATTGAATTGGTTGGTGGTTATTTGTACGTGGCACGGCAATCAGCGAGGTTGTGAAGCTCCGTGGAGATACCTAGAACATGTCCAGTATACCTCCACTAATCACCAATGTCAGCTGAAAAAAGGACTAGTGGACTGGAGGTAGGAATGATCAAGTGAAAAATGTAAGTAAGAAATACAGTCCGGATGTCAAGTTGCTCAGTTTTTAGAGGAATTGGTATCTCCAAAGTTTTTGTCATAATAATTTCAGTTAACTAAGGAACCTACAGGAATATCGGTTCCCATAGAAACAAACTTGGGAGGATAGATGATCACAATGAAGTTGAATAAAATTCAAAGATAAATATCCTTTAGTTAGCTGCATGAATTAGTTTACAGCTGGCTTTAACACCACCACAGACATTTCAGCAGAGAAACATCTCTAAGGCTGTCTTACTTTTTTGGTCGGCAGATACTTATGTAAACCAGCAGAATCGAGGGAATCGAACCCTTGCTTTACGCCGAGAAATTTGAAGCGGTTATTGTGTTTTCCTTCGTGGTTAAAGCTAACCTGTGGCTAAGCACTACGGAAGAGGCCATAGTCAACCTCTTACAACTCTTGTATTACTCTAGGACTCTTGTGCAACCTTATATTTTCCTTCGTTTCTATGTGCACCCTGTTAACAATTCATGCGTTAAATTACTCATCTTATCACGTAACTCTAATACACTTATTCAGTTCTTATTTATTGACTAGTAATTTTCTGGCGTAGACGTGATATCCGACTAGCTGTAGACTAAGGGGTGTGTGTAATGCTCAGAAGTCCTCTCCCTTCTCCTTTATGGCTGTAAGATATGGCCATTGGAAATAGAAGACATGAAAAGGCTAGCTGTCTTTGGTCATAAGTGCCTGTTTTCTATCTCCCGTGGGACCAATAATATTAACTGTGGTTAGGAGAACTCATCACTTTTTTTACTGCCCCGTTGCATGATAAAAATTCTATGTAGATGCTATTTTACTGCTAAAGGGAATCGCCGAAGAAAACCTCTTCGCTGAACTGTGTTTTGTTATCGTTAGTGTCTGTATGCGGATTATTCATGAATACTCGTAAGTGTCTAGTTATCTCCTTCCTTAAAACAAGCTTCATGTTATCATAAGTAAATTGGACAGAAAACAGCTCCGAAGCTGTGTGTTACTGCTCTCATTCAGTCTCAGACGTGCACGTGTACGGACAAATGTATGGTTGAAGGTAGTCAGCTGCATATATGCAAATAACAAGTGAGTAGGAGGGTCTTAGAAGTATTTGATTAGTTGTCATGCTGTACAGGATGTATCGAAAGGACAATGCAAATTTTGTGACATCGTACATATTTAACCCTGACACATTATTATGTTTTGAATTTAAGCATATTTTTTTAAAATTTTTGGTGACAGCTTGATTCCACACCGTATTTTTTGGTACAGGTATGGAGTTTTCAGCATGCGATATCGGTAGCCCAAATTTTGCAGGCTGACCATAGATATCGGGTGTGCGTCGGCAGGGGATCGAACCTCGGACCATGTGCATGGTCGGTGTGAGTTCTTACCACTGTACCACCGACACACCCTCGTCCTCTTCAAGAGCTAATTAAATTGGCCTGACATGCATCTGTTTATATATTTACGACTCAAGTTGTCGTAAGACGTAAAAGTATTACATGTCTACATTCACAGAAATTGGATTAAAAAAGTACACATTTTAGTCATAAAATTGAAGGTATCGTGTGCAGCTCATTGCACAAGTCGGTATACTGTTTTTGAATTACAGCTCTTACATTGATGCAGTCTCTAAAATTTCGAACTAATGAACTTATTAAGCTTCTTTAAAGAAGAAATGAGGTAATGATATACATGTGTTGACTTTATATATCAATCATAACAACTCTCTGAAATCTGGTTTATAAGTCTTTTACGAGTGCACATTATATGTTCACTTAATGTCAGCATGTTATATAGGTTGTTCATTTCTTTTATAAATATGCAACCATATTGCATTATCTCCACTGAAAAGTATTTCCAATCACCCTACCGGTCACGTATGCGGCAGAACTGGAGGTACTCACAATAGCTGTGCAATAAGAAGTGCGGCTATGCCAAATATTTGTACCAGCGATAGTGGTCGACGTCGAATTGCACAGTGTCTTGAATCAAGTCCACCTACGTCACAAGCCAACCGTCGATGTGCTGCTGAGTCTCCGATGACTTCTGATTCTCATTCTAAAACTCCAGTTAATGGTTGTCTTACTAAACAGTGTACGAGTGGGAAGCCGGTGAGGGAACGAGGCACGAAAGAAGACCCAGTAACAAGGTAAGCACTGTTGTGTTTATCCGTAGCTGTTCTGCTTGTCATTCATTTTCTGCGCATATGACGTTTTCAGGCTTAACCAGGACAGGCTTAAATAACTTGGGTTTTCCTTCACGATTACACAATCTGTCTAATTATTCTCCTTACGAAGTCTTCATGGATTCGCTAACAATAAACCTTTTTTATTCCTTTACGTTTCTAGCGGAACATCGGGCTTCAACCTTGAGCTTTGAAGTTTCAGTAGCAGTTGTTTTAGTTTTACGGAGTGGGTTTGCCAGCCACATGCCCAACCTTTCCTCTTTACCAGTCTTATTATCGGCTCAGTGAGGTAAAGGGGTAGTCGGCTAGGGGTCAAACCCCGAACCATATGCGTGGTCGCCAAGCATTCTGCTGCTGTGCTACCGACGCGCAACAATAATTGTCGACTACATAGGGACAACTTTTGTCAGAAAGATAGTAATTAAAGCCTGTACACGGAATCAAACAGGAACAAGAAGAATTGAAGCAGTAATTTTAATGTAATCACGATTATCAAATTTCAGACAGAGTATATAAACTCACAATGTTTTCATGTCCCTCAGATACAGAATTAACAGAAGTACGCATAGTCGTTGTGAGATAAATGAGAATAACAAATATAGTTAAAATAATAAATTAGGTCATCACATCCTCCCATATACTTGATTAGAAATCAAATCTACAAATCTGCATGACTCATTTCATCAATTTTTGAAAACATTAGCCGTTTATATATATATATATATATATATTTATATGCATACGGTTGAAAAAATTGGAAAAATGCAAAGGAATTGTTATTATTTTCATTCCTTGGGTCCCGTGTGGAGCAAAAAGTCTTAGCGACTCATTTAGATTCCTCGTGACTACTCCTAGCTGGCCATACCAGTACCCATCAAGCTTTCATATGCTTCACCACCACGTCATCCTCAGGCGAATAATTGTCGCTTACTCTTTAGGTTCCACTTAACAGGATGGCGCGTGATTTCACTCAATGGGCAGTTCAACATGTTTCCAATAAATCTCCATTTTCTTCTGATTAATTCCTGGTCAACAGGTTCTTGGTTTGTTTGCTGCCAGAGTTCCTCGTTGCTTATTCTTTTCTGCTGGACATCTGATCATCAGCATTAACCAAAGACAATTACATAGGTCAAACTAGCAGATCGGGGTCAGCTAAATTTATTGGAACATAGAAAATTAGCTAGACCTAGAATAAATGACCCTACTAAGTTAAATAACCTAGAGAAAAGTCCAGCTATTGAATTGCATTCACTTGCATGTAATCAGAAAATAGGGTAGGACAGGGTGAGAGTATTAAAATGTAATAAAGTTAGGTGGAGAGAGAGTTTAATCACTGAAGCTTGGTTTATCGATTCAACACCGCACACGTGCAATCGGAATGGCTCAACGCCTGTACCGAAGATATGGAGAATGGCAACAAACACCAAGGGGAAGCTGGAGAGAGAGAGAAAAAATATATAGGACAAATTGTGAAACCTTGTAACTAAATTGATGTGATTATGAGCAAAAATTTATGCTCGAAACGTCATCCAGTTGTTAATACTGCATCACTGTGTGGTATGTAAAATAAACTTTCGTAATGTTGGAACTAAATTATGCCACAGTACCCAAGGTCTACACTTACACTGACCAAAGGCAGGTTTTGGTGAAAGTCTTCAACCTCTTGCAAATGCCTTTGGTGACTCGTCAACTAAAATCACTGGCCTCATATAAGGGTTAAAATTTGATCTTGTTCTTTGTAGTAAGTACCAAACATTTCCACAATGATGTTGAAGTAATGAAGTGATGTCTTAATTCCTTGATCCCGGGCGTCTCTGACATCTCCACATGTGCCGTGTGTAATTGAAGCGATTCTGTCAGCATAGGTGAAATGACTTCCTTTAGATTTCTCCCATTGGTATTGACTAATTCATGTCGTTTGTCACGCATCTTCATCACCTCTATCTTCTCTAAGTTCACCCGAAGTCTCTTCGCTGCCTCTTTTCCCGACTTGTTGCTTTACCCTTGTGTGTCTTCGAGAATTCACAACTTCATATTAATTACTGAAGACCAGGTTTAATGGACAACTTAGGTTTTAAAATAGAAATAAATACGATATGTTCAGCGAAGAAATATTTCTTACTAGTGACTGCATTTCCTATCTTTACAATCGTGCTTGTACTACCTACGTAGAAACGATTACCATGATTTTTAAAAGTGTAGGGTTGAAGTGAATCCATTAGTAATTACAGAAGGTTACTAAAGAAGTGAATTAACATCAAAAGGTTTATAATTATTCAAGTATCGCGGAAAAATTAAATTTTTGGTGTTGATAACAATATTTAAAAGAAGACCTAGTGAAGTCGAATAAAGTCAACCTGAAAGAACAAAATTAGTTCCAAGATAGCGAAAGTGATTTAACAAAACGTTTCAGAATACACGCTCTAAGTTTTTGTTCACATATAATTAGTGCTTCAGCAGTTGAATTTAACCTTCTGGATAACTTTAAAAGAAATCGCGTGTGGCTGAATAATCTGGATCAAGATTTTTGCAGATAAGAGACTTCGTCGTTTTCTGTTCTCCTTTCGTCAGGCGAACTGAGTAGGATTGATCTACTCTTTCTCCTGAAACCACTTTCATTCCTTTTTACGTAATATAAGTGCGGAAACGAAGTCGTTGGAAGGAAATTTACTTGCTAAACAAGTCTGCTTTTCCATCATTAGTAAATAACTGGGTATATTTCGTCATTTCAATGAAATATACCAGTATAGTATAGTATTCTCCTAGAAATGATCTTGAGTAAATTGTGGTGTTTCTGTCTTTGTGCAGATAAGTTCTCTGGGCGTTTAATACCTGATTGTTCCGAACTTTTAAAATGACCTGTAAGCATAGATAACAGCATACTTGAAACCAAATCACTTGCATAAATCCGTAATATTTTTTTGATGCAGCAAAAAAGTACGGGGTATTTAGGAGAATTGAGAAATAAGCCTATCTAATATTAAATTACATTCTACCACAAATCGTAAATTTTACAGTTACATTAATGTCGGAAATTATCACACATTTATTACGACTGATAACCGGATAGTCAAGTTGCGTCATTATTGTAATAGCTTTTGCTTTGGTGTATATTTGATGTACTATTGATTATTTACAACTGTATTTTATTCCTACATGATCGCCGTAAATGTGATTCCTAATACTGCATATTACCATTAACGCCAAACTCTTACAGCAAACTTTTGTTAACGTTTTTCTGATAGATTAGAAAATAATGTTCGACGCCTCCGCTGTGATGTACAGTCCATGCGTGCATTAGAAACCCAACTGCGTAACCAGCTTGAAAATCTACAACGTGATGATCGTCTTAATCGGCTCAGCTTGTCTAACCAACGGCAAGAAAATGAAGCCTTTTCATCGCGTATCTCAAAGTTAACTAACAGGTGTCGAAATGAGAGAGCAAATCTAAACAATATGGAGCAGAGTCTAAATGAAGAAATTCGTTTACGTCAATTAGTTGAAGCTCAGCTCACTGAAATGAACGTAACTCCAGTGTGTAATGTATCCAAGGCAAATAGTAATATTTCATCTAGTAGCTCAACTGAACAGAGTATTCCAACATCTGTTGCTGCTATTCAGTAAGTATTTTATTTTCGGAATTTACACTAAGTTCTTTGGACACTGACACGAATCATTACTTCATTATTGTAAGTTATTATAGTACTAAAGGCAGTTAGCTAGATCATATATTTGTGTTTTAATCGGGTGAATTCTACTGGAGACAATAAAAAAGCATTTCTACTGATATAGACAGTAAAATATCCCATTCTCATATTCCATCAATATATGGTTTCTTCCATATCACGAGGCTCCTTGTCCTATATTTCCTTTTCATTTCCTGTCACAGAATCAATCCATTTTATGGTTTCTTTAATGCGATTTTCCATAAACCAGCTAAGAATAATCCATATCTAATCAACAACTTCCGTGGTGTTTTGAAGTTGTCATCATCTGGCGACTTGGAGAATAAGGTTCTATAGCAAGAACTCTGGTGTCTTCAACGGAGAAGAATAATATCTTTTCCGCAGAAGTAAGGAAAGATTTTTCAGCTGTATAATCGACAGGAAACATTGCAAACTAATGATATGGATGTAATAACAATAACTATTACCCAAGAACTAATTTCACTTATATACAGTTGTAGTCAAGCCACTCACGAGGACTGCTGATTCTAAGTGATAGGCGGAGCGGTTTTGGAACCTAGATCTAAATGGTTGGAAGCTAAACTAAAGTTAAAAGATGGTCAGACCAAAACATGGCACGGATCTACGAAGTCTGCTACTGCTGTTTTGAGCCACTTAGAAATGTGTTCACTACCAGTCTGGGGTCTTCAAGATGCTAAGAATAATTGGTTAGAGACTCTTATTGACATGGCGTAGATGTATCCGGTTATTATCATTTTACAGTCTCGAAAAATCCTCATTAATCTTTATCTGGTTCGTATTTTTCTCGTAAATCTTCGTCTTTTATACCTTCAGTTTTTCTTTTCTTTACGTCTATAACCTTTTCTGAAGTATGGAAGCCCGAAACGATACACTTTTTTTACCAAGTTGTTTGTTCATAAATCAGTCATAGATGTCTCAGTATGTTCATTCACTAATTATATTCCAGAATGGTCTATAGATCATTAAGTCAGCAGTTTTGGATCCGACTTTAATATTAAGAAGTTAGGATGAATCCAACAGAAGTAGATATTCGCTGTCTATAGCTTAGGTTATTTATATTTTGGAGTACTTATTTTGACGTTACTCCCATAAGGCATATAAATGAATACATATGTGATTGGGGATCTATCAGTCGTATATGCAATCTCTTCTTAAAATTTTTAGCAAATCTCTAAATTTTTGTGAACTTACTTGAAATTATAATAAAAGTCACAATTCCAAACTCTCTTGTTTATTGCGAATATAACAGTGATCTATGATATCTATAACATTTCAAACACAACTATCCTTCATAATCATATCAATTGTAACTATGCAACTTCGAAGCTCCATTTTCATAGTTCTCACTCTTCTTTCCTATTTGGCGTAGGGATAGTAGAATTTTCTGTATATCAGGAATAGGGGTTAAGTCACTCCTATTGCAAGTATTCCCGGTTTGTTTGTTAAAGTTTCGGCTCCAATCTCTCTCCACTCTATTACGTAACGTTTCAGAACTGTCAACGCGTCCCGTTCTATTATATAGTTGTGCGTAACTGCATTTAGTGCAATGGACCAGTTTTTTTCTAGATTTCTTATCTTACTAGGGTCTACTAGTTTAGATTTGGCCAAGCTTTTATGATACACTAACCTAATGAACCCTTGTCTACTTATTACAATGAAACAGTGATATTCAATGGCAGAGTTGTTTACTTGACAAAACTATATAAGATGATGGCAAAATATAGAAGTCTTAAATTGTACTTTCAGTTTGTAAAAAGCATTCATATTCGGCTTCTTTTGTCATCGTTTCATGATTTGTATATTGCTGCATAGTTATCTTCATCTCTTTGTAACTTAATTCATCGCCCCGTTACTCAAGATTTTGACAGGTTTTCACGAACATACTGCTTAATGACACATCACATATTACCTTTACCTACGAATTTTACCTCAGTCGTTTTAAGACCTACTATATTATTCTGTGTAAAAGGATGAACATTATCCTGTTACCAACGAAGTTTTTTCCTGAGTGAGTTTATTGGTTCGAATGCCGCTTTTATTCTCTCCTTTTTAAAAACCCTATGTAAGCTTTCGTAGGTTCCCTCTTTGATAACACTACGGATGTTCTGAATTCCTCTCTTTGGGGTTGTCATCTGTCTGTATACGTTTGTTCTTATTTTTATTCGCATCTAATATATACTCCCTGTTCAATTTATCATGATGCTAATCCCAGCATTCGATAAAGATTTGAATCTAAAGATTTGATTTCAATCATTGAATCGTCATTAGCCCACTTTCCTTCGCTCGATATTGCTCATTTGAAGAGCCTCCAAAATTTTCAGTGCTCACCGGTTTCACGAGAACTCATTTCGAAAGATAATGGGAAAAAAACTTGTACGCTAAGGCATGGTGTTATGCAGTTTGGTGCGACAATTCAAAAAGGACTTCACCTGTGAGAGTTTCTGCGAATGCATATGCATTTATACAACATATGTGTGAGATGTGATCTTATGCTTATTTTCTGTATCAAGACTTGGTCACTTTTTCCCAATAAATGCACATGAAGTTGCAGTGTAGAGGCAAACTGAATTCACCGAGTACTTTTTGTAACTTTATTGTGGTAGTCTGATAGTTATCAACATAATTTTGACTGGTTGTTCACTAATTATAGACAGTTAACTTATTAGATTGGAAGGTGACTTTATCGAAAAGTATGGTTTTCTACAAGAAGGTGGTATTCATTCTTGAAAAATGGTGAGATAGTAGTGGTTGAAATGTAATATTTCTCCCTTACACTTTTGTTTTCTCGTTGATAAGAAGCCATCAGGCTAAGATGATGATAAAATACAGAGGCTTGTGAACAGTTTGAGCAAACCGGTTGAATATCTTCGGGATGCAACTTGCCTTTGTCAAATGTAAGATGATTCTGCAGGAGCAGTGCGAACCATCTCCCAGTTACATAATATAGGGAGTGGAATGGTTGAGCTGACCAGTAGGCTTGTTTTCAGGGTTGCACCAGCGCAAGTGAACTGAATGCAGACGAAATATGAGCACATAAACAAAAGAGTCATTTGACATTATGTTTGGTGTTTGTGTGATATCGGGCTACCGATGTAAAGCAAGAGGTGTGTATTGTGTAGCGGTTCGTTCCATCCTACTTTATGGACTTAAGACACGGTTTTTGAAGATGTAAGATAGACATGAAGAGATTAGGAGTTTTCGACGATGGGTGCCTCTGTTCAATCTCTCACAGTAGGTGGAGTGATATGGTGAGTAGTAGTGAAGTGTTATTGTCAGATCGTGAGGTAAGAAGGAAAAGTTAACCAATGAATGTGCAGAGGCATTCGCTCGTTTGCTGACAGACAGGTAAATTGCCGATTGGTTGAATTTTGTGGAATTCTTCTCTGTATTTAAGATGAAAAAGCCTGGCAGTTTTGTTGCTTGTATGCTAGAAAGAATTGAAAAAAATCTACCATTTTACGATAATAATGTAAATCAGTGAATCTTGTGTATATTTTGAAATACATGTGAGCATTTAACGGTATGGTATTTGAATCGACTTATGAATTAAAAATATGCAGTTGTTATTTTAATTAGGCACGAATTGAATCAAGGGCATGAATCGTATCGAGGATACTATTTCATTTACATTGATTTTCTTTTCTAAATTCTTGAATACTTGTACAAGTGGCTTTCTCTACTTTCGTATGTTTTTCTGGAAAAAGCGCAGTTCATGTTTTTATTTATTAAAATATATAAAAATGCAGTCGAAATTCGTTTTAATTCTCGTTTCCTTTTTTAATTGTTTCAGAGAATCCTCTAGTAATGAGATAGCAACCAATGCTGACACAATACATCAACAAAATGATGCTCATAATGTTATGAATAATTATTGCTGTAAATTGCGTCAGCTTCTTGAGTCGAAACTTTATACACTTAGATTAGCTGTCAAGCATCGTGAGAATTTAACACTAGCCTCTAAAATGCGTCCTTCTGACCAATTGACAAGGAAGTGTTTAACCAATATCAGTTCGAAAACAGTAGTGACGTCGAGCGATGATGGCAGTTCTCACCAGTATGAACCACGTTCGTCGACATGTAAACTTCAGTCGGGGCATTTAGCAGGCAAAGATACTTGTAGAGTTTTAAATTCAGAGGGTGAAAATGTTAACGACACAAGTAATAATCATGATACATCGACAAATAAACATAGACATGCATTTTTAGAAAACTGTTTCAATTTAGCAAATGAAGAAAGAGAACGCTTAGCGAGTAATTTACGAACGGAGAACTGGCAGAAACAAGAGTTGCTCACATTATACCACACATCTGTACGAGAAATAACTGAACTAAACAGTAAGTGTTTTCCACCTAATTTTACACTTGTTGGTTTAATAGCACAAATTCCGAGATTCATTATTTATTTGGTGAATTGTAATCCACATAGTAAAGAAGATTTGTAGCTTAGGTGGATGACTCTGATGCATTTGTGTTCTCTAAGCTGGATGGTTTACTTGCGAAGCTCTCGCTGCAACATCTTCAGTGCTTACTTCAATTTGAATTGAACTCTGAGATTTCTCCACGAGTGTATTAGTCATCTCTCCTGGCAACCTTGAACATGACTGGTTGCTGTTGTCTGTCTCTACACCCTCTAGTTTATTTATATTGAAATTGATTGTTTCCTTGACCTAAAGTTTGACTTTTTTTGTGCATTAGGTTTTCCTCTCATGAATTGGTCAATTTTATCTATGCAAATGTGCCTGTTAATTACCGATTCACTGGAATACCAGGTTTCCAGAAGTTCTCTGGCGTTCTTGGTGTTTTCTCTTCCTAATATTTGAAAGCCATTCCAGTCGAATTGGTGTCCGTGGTTGTCTGTATGCAACGATATAAGGGAGAGGATATCATGTCTTTTTACAGTTAGTGTGTGATCATGCATACGAAGACTTAGAGGGTAATCGTCGCAATTTATTTTGTAGATGATGTTGGTTTTATCTCTCGCTGTCGAGTCTTTTGGTTGATACAAGTGAGTGAAGTGATTTTGTTGGTTTATGTGAGACATCAGTTTCTATAGGTCTGAAGAAGTTATGCAGTGATTTCTGAGACGTCCTTGATATATGTAAGATGACTTTCTTTGTGTGACTAATAAGCTCATATAGAATTCTAAACGCTCACTTCACATTGAATTATGCGCTGAAGGTGTTGCCTAGCAGAACAATGAAAGTCTCACAAGTGAACCATCCAGCTCAGACAACACAACTGCATCAAAAAATATTAGTCCGTTAAATTGGATTATAAGGATTACTATTTTTGCTAAATAAGATAGAGATTTCAGGGACGCGGCCGGTTTGTTTGTGTGTGGTTCACTGGATGGCAGTCTCTATCAGGATTGAATCTCGTGATTTTATGCGATCTATTATGCTATTAGATTGTTATTATCCGACCTGCATAGCAGCCCATGTTGCATCTATTCACGAACACCCTACTCAACTATCGTTCTTTTTAAAATTCACCTTTTTCCATTAGGGTTAAAAATTTCAAGTGTTCCGTTTGTTGAGTTCGACGCATTACATGTTTCACTGCATAAAAGCTACGACTGGGTTTATTATTGTGACGTTACTTTTCACTTTCTATTTTCTATGCAGTACATTTGGAATGTTAAGTTTTTACATTCCTAATTGTTTACAGGTAACCACTGCATCAATAACACTTTATTTTTGACTTGTGTGCGTTTTCTCATATATATATGGATTCCTAATTCCTATATTACATCATGACAATCGGAGATTGTAGAATTTCCTTTGCTTTGAACTATTTCATTATCCCCACTGCTCGTACACTGAAGCTAGTCGTTACTAAAAGTTATTGGACAAAAGACAAGTAGTTCAGAAAAGAGTCTCTTTTCGGCGAATTCATTTTCAAAGCTGTACAATCGCAAATATATATGGTTATTTTGTGTGCGTGTGTATACATTAAATTTGTCAAACGAAAATACGGTTAGTAAGTTCAAATGAATTGGATGTTGATAAGAGGATAATAACAAAAGTGATAAGTTGTCATAAATGATTGTTAAGTAAGTGTTACGCAATGACATGAATAGTTTGATGAATGAGTTGTACTCAAAGAAGACGAAATCGTACTTTGCATCGCAGAAGCCCTAGCCATCCAGTTGGTGGAACCAGAACTATGCATACAAAAGAAAATTATCCAACCACTTCTACTCGCATGGTAGCAACTCCGTTGATTTGACCCAACTCTTCTTTGTTTGTTTCATTTGACCTTACTTCTGTTTGTATGCTTATTTTTCTAACTTAAAACCCTTGTGTAATTCTGTATATTATTTTGTTTCCATGTACACCCTTTGAGTACAACTCATTCATCAAACTATTCATGCCATTGCGTAACTCTTATTTAACAATCATTTATGACAACTTATCACTTTTGTTATTATCCTCTTATATGAACATCCAATTCACCTGAACTTACTCCTCTTTAACAATCGTTTTTGACAACTCATCACTTTTGTTGCTATCCTCTTATCAACATCCAATTCATTTGAACTTACTAACCGTATTTTCGTTTGACAAATTTAATGTATACACACGCACACAAAATAACCATATATATTTGCGATTGTACAGCTTTGAAAATGAATTCGCCGAAAAGAGACTCTTTTCTGAACTACTTGTCTTTTGTCTATTAATGTTCGAATGGGAATTATTCATGAATTAAAAATTATTGCATTCTTCAGAATTTTTCGAATGATAGTGAACATAAAAATATTCCTTGCAAGCTTTCTTCTTTCTTGCTTTTCACAATCTGATATATGGCAGCTCTCAGTGGTATATATATATATACGAATTATTTCAAGGTTGTGTTTCACATTGCATATATGTCGGTCATCATCTATGTATAAAAGTGAGAAACAATTAATTTGTAATGGCTTCCCTTTTGGGCGTTTGAATCCCATTTAAAACATATCGTTTCTGTATTCTTAGGAAATATTCAAACCATAAGATAACAGGAATTAATCTGTCAAGTAAATATTTTCCAATCTAGCATGTCCCATAATACATTAGTTCTCATCTGATTTGTCTCCATACATTCTCCTCGTACTTCTACTTTAGACCTATTCTGCTCATTATTTATGATCAATTGCCATTCTCTTTTGCTCTTATTCATACACTGTGTTAGTGTAAACCCTCAACACAACATTCATTTCAAGTAACCGTTAAAGTGCATAGTTCTATCCGTAAATTTGCTAATTTCATGTTTTTTAACTGGTACTTCAGATTAATACTATTATTCTCATTCTGCATCGGAGTGCTTATCTATAACTCTCAATAGGGAAAAATTCCTCGAAAAATTGAGCTTTTGCTGAGTAATGTATCAGTCAAAGTCGTACTCGCATTTCGGGAAATAATATTGATACCGGTTAACCGTCCTCTTTTCGACACCAAAACCATCGTAGGCATTTTTCAGAAAGTGATGGATACAGTATTGGTAGGTATCGCACGAATTATGGCAAATCTAGGTGATGCCTTATTAGTAACAGCTTCATCGTAGATTTCCTAGAGAAATAGGGTTATGTTTGGACAATTTTAGACAGCTACATTTGACTACGAACCAAAGTGTTAACTTTTCTCAGTCAATTGAATACTTGACATCAATTAATCGTTATTGTGATTCAGGGATTATTCATGTGGAACTAAAATAAATTATAGACAAAGAACAGAGCTTATCACTTTAGGTTGCCACAAATTGGAAAGGTACACATGAAAGCAAAGAAAAGAATGAAGCTACGAAAGATGATACATGCGGAAGGGCGAATAATTAGATAAAGACTAGTGAGGAACTTCGAAATCTGAAAGACGATGACGCGTAAATATATCTGCGCTATTGCACGCGATTTCGAACTATTTCTACAAGTTTCCAACAATTGGTTCTTAGCATTCTACGGAGAATCCAACTGTACAATATTCTATTCTCGGGATTGAACACTTACCAAGCCTAACGTATGTAGCAGCAGCAGCTTATTCCTTTCCAAGACTTATCGGCTATTAGACCTTGTTTCACCACTGTGATCGGTACTATTCGGAGTCAATCTTAGGAAGCTGTCATGCGATTATCCGAATGTCTATCCTCTAAGTGCGTCATAGTATGGTTGAATACATCTGGTGTTAGACATCAAAAGCTGTTGATACATCCACCTTTTCTGTAATAGAAATATTATCCAACAAAACTTATTGTTCACTAAAACATATCATGTAATGAACACACTTGAAAGCTATTTTAGATATTCTGTATTACTATTTATTATTATCATTATTATTAGGTTTTGAGTGAAATACAGTGCCTTAGCATCACATCTCCACTTAGTCCTTTTTAGTTGGCTCGACAATTGGCCATAATCTCTCATCTCCTCATACAACTTCTTCTATATCATCCCCAGATGCCAAGTTGTCGTTTCTTATTTGCGTTCTATCCAAGAAACGGGTGCATGATGTTACTCAATGCGTGTCCCATTCGCCTCCGATTTCTTCTCTAAGAGCCGAAAAAATAAGTAAATAACCATAAATTGCTTATTTTTGGTCATAGATCAGCTATTTGAAACCCATTGGTTAAAAGAAATACTTCTGAGAAGTTACAAAGTGGCGTTCGTATATTAAGAATTCGAGATAGTTTGCATTGCGGAAAACATTTTTCTGTTTGTCACCTGTTAAAGTCAATTTGTAGTAGTCCGGCAGTACGCTAATTCAGATTGCTATAGGTGATAAGCAATAAGGCAATTAAGATTCACCAACAAAAATGACATCTGAAAATTCACTCTTAATGCGTAATATCTCGTCAGAGTATACCGGCCATAGAAAATGAAGAATATATTCAGGGTGGTTTATAAATGTTCTAGTTGCATTCAAAGGCTTTTACCTACACAACAGACAAATTTGGAAATAGCACATCATGTGTTATAACTGACTACCTTAACCAATAATCTGCAGTTGAACAGCATAACTCATTAGTTATCAGCTTAGTGTTTCGATATCATAGTTGTTTTAGTTGTTTCAAAATTGTCAGTTGTGGAAGAATCTTATAAATATAGGTGCAGTAATATATACTAGCTAACTTTATTGAATTTTACTTATCCCTCAAGTTCTTCGACTCAGTTTTTCTCAATGTTTTTTAATATTGTGTATATGCTTTCTTTTTGGAAACTTCTCTTAACACAACTGTTGTAAGCATAATCTTACACACTTGTCATTCGCGTTCGTTTAAGGGAATTTTAAGTTATATCTCATTTTGCTGAAGTGTAGAGTCTGTTTCTATTTCCTCTTTTTTGTTTGTAGAAACGCTTAAACAGCGTGACTTACAAATTCTTGAGCTTACGGTGAAAATAGAACAACTTGAGTGTTTACCAAAGTCTACTAAAACATGCGATTCTGTCAGTCTTGGTGGATACACTGCGACATCAGCAGCAGCAACAACTCAGTCGCCGTGTAATTTGTATGCTGATTATTTCCCGACAGGAGATAAAGATTTTAACTATAATAAACAACAGGTAAATGCTTGAGATAAAAAATTCTTTGATTTTCTTATCGCCTTCATTCGTTTCACACCAAGAAATAGTTTGTTTCTTCAGTTGTATATGTAAATGGGAAATCGTTGTATAAGTTTGATTTGTTTCCGTATCACATATTTTAAGGGTATGTAAGGAAAACATTCCATAGTTCTCGCAAAACATTGAGCTGACATGTTTTGGTTATTAAAGCAGTTAAAGTGGTGTAGATTAACACAATCCTAGGTTTCTTCGTTGTAGTATCTGCACATCTATCTACGATAATATTCTTTGTGATGATACACTATATTTTGAAACTTTTAAAAACCCATGCTAACTTATTTGCCTGAAACGATTCCGTTAAATTAATTTTCGATTCAGTTTTCATTGTGGTTCTTTGTGGTGTCAAGCAGAGAGTGCAGAAAACATCTTTCTACAATGAATCTATGACTGTTCTAATTTGCTTCTGACAATATTTTTTTTTATTCCTGCACGTTCCTGGTGGAACATAGGGCTTCAAGCTAGAGGCTTGAAGTTTCTGTAGCAGTGTTTATTTTTACAGAATGGGGTTGCTAGCCTCATGCCCAAACTTTCCTCTTTACCAGTCTTATTACTGGTTTAGCGAGGTAAAGGAGTGCGCCGGCCGGGGATCGAACCTTGGACCATGTGCATGGTCGGCGAGCTCTTATTGCGTTTGTCAGTAATATTGGTGTCATCGTCAACCGATGCTTCTGTATCTTTCTCTTTCAGCAGCAAAATTTTACTAGGACTTTATGCATGAAGAAAAAATTTATCAAGAATTATGTTGCCTTTATAACAGCAGCTTTAGAATAATTATGGTTTGCGTAATTATTATTGATATGTGTTGTAGTACAATGGTGAGTCAGGAAAAAGTTTTACCCGTGTTATGATTTGCTCACCAATTTCCATCTCACGTATGTAGGTTTTGAATTCATTCTGGCTGATGTTTTAAGTTTTAATGAAGGGTAAGTTAACTGTTAACTTTGTCAGTGTTGCAGTCGTAATACTGACAATAAACTACTTTTTCTCTACTTTGAATATTTAGATTTCATCAATGCTATCAGGCAATTCCGATATAATGTTTTCTGGCGCTTCTACGAACACACTTGAGAACATGTTTATCCACCCGACTTCGGAAAAGTATGATCATAATAATAATGGTTCGTCACAAAATCCTAGATTTTGTGTAACGTCACCTACGCCACCAATAGCTTCATTCACCAACCTGACAGGCTATCACTACTCTAAAAGTTCTGACCTGGCAACTTACCATTATAAAACTAAGCAAAATCATCATCAGATTCTTTTTCGAGGTAACACTAACCATGGTTGCTCTTCAACTGCAAATTTTAATACTAACCTGTCATCTTCTTGTTTACTGCCATCTGAAACCTGTTCTTCCTCGTCTTCATCGTCTTCTTGTTCATCAAACGCTAACTACTCACTGCATACAGATATGCAAATATTTAATAATTATAAAGAAACACCTATAATCACATCACTCTCTGGTGGTTGTTTAACTGCACGTCGACAGAAGGACCAAAAACAACAGCAAAATTTAGCTGCTGATGCTACCTAATTATTATTATTATTACTATTATTATTATTATCATTATTATTATTGCTATAATTATTGTTATCATTATTACTAATATGATAAAGCAATTTATAAATGTATCGCTTACCTTCTGAGTAAGTATACACATGCATACAAAATACATTGTTTTCAATCTCTTCTCTAGTCGTCTACCCAAGAATACAGTTTGTGTTTTATAGGGTTTTTCTGTAACGTTAGAATGTGACAATTGTAACAACAGAAGACAAGAGCCAGGTAACAGATCTTTTATTAAGGAAATCAAAGGATATTTATATATTTTCATGTACATTATTATAGATTAGTTAAGCAAATGAACACAGTCTTCTGATTGGTTGTTTCTCACTTAGAGTTAATCTTTCATCTCTTTGTGACTGTTTCTTGAATGTCAGATCATCTATATGTTAAGTGCATTCGCCTACGCAAAGTATGCTGTGGTTGGTTTTTGAATCAGTCTTGTTCATATTTCCTCACGACCAGGTTTCTTGCAATACGAAAATTTCATTTAAGAGTCACTTTTAGAATTGAGTGATTATTATCATTGTTATTATCAAAAAGATGAGATTTCGAATTCTGAGGTGGAGTGATCTAAGGTAGCGAATTACATCAATGGGTTTTATTTGTTAAAAACGACAAACCAGTTGAAATTCATGGGATATTTGATGAATGTTGCACAAAATTACTTCCATGTGTATACGATTCTCTGTGTATTTACCACAATCATATTTTGGCAAACCATACAGTCCTTAACATCGTATATATATATATATATATATATATATATATATCGACCTTCTTGAACACTTCGTAACCATCTTCCTCGTCGCTCATAAAGATTACAGTCGTCCTTATGTTACAGCACCTATTGATTTGTGAATATTTTTGGATAGTGATGATCAGAATCAGCACTGATAATAAATGTTTAATTATAAGTGTACGGTTTATGGAGCATTAGTGCGATAGATTCACACACCTTTATTCAGTTATTTTGAAAGTTTCTAGCATTAAATTATAGCAATAGTGAAACTGTTGAAGTTGTTATCCACGAGTGACGTTTGTAGGATTTTGATACATGTATAACATTTAGTCGCTTTGACGAATTTGGATAGCGTTATTAAGTGATGGAGTTTATCTGAAAATTTGGACGTATTTTTTGCGATTTATTTCGGACGACGACGAGCACATATTTACTTGTCAAATCAGTCTATAGGACAAACTAAAATAGACTGAATAATAAGGTATTTAGGTGTCAGGAGGACAATGATTAAAACTACTCTAAATAACATAATCAGATAATGACTACTAAGGTAGGTCAAGGGTAGCGGCCAGTTGTATTTTACTTATGGGAACGAGACTTAATTTTACGGATGTCCATCTTCAGAGCGTGTTTCAAAATGCTTCCCTGGTAGAATCTTGAAAGCCGTTTTAATTAGACTCATGATTTATATCCATGAGCTTTGCTATGAGCGAAGCTGGTAGTTTAACTCTTGTGTTCACCAAGGTTTCGGAGTTCATTCGTTTTTCAAGCCGCTCCTTCCTATGTATGTGACCATACATACACATGTAAATTTGTGATTTATATTGGATGTAATGTAAACACTCGTGCAATGTTGAGATTTGTGGTAGAGCATGTTTTTGACTTTTTCGGTAATTATAACCTAAGCAGCATAGTAAGATTTATGAGTGACGGAACTTAGTGTCTGTCTTAAAATCCTACTATTTATTTCTCCATTGTAAGGAACAGAGTAACCTTTGAGCTTTCAATTTAACTGTCTTCACTGGTTCAAAGACTTCAGAGGATATCTTTTTCCGACAAGTGTATTAATCAGGACTTCATTGTCATCATCCAATACATTAGGCTTACAGATACGCTGAATTCTCTTAAGCAAGCATTTATCCAGATCTCTTTTGTATTGCGATGGACAGTAGCTGTGAAAATTCAAATACAACCTCGCCTAAGTAGGCTTTTTGTAAATCAACAAAGTTCAGCGAAGAGTCTGTTTCCGGCGAATTCATTCACTTAGCTGTACAATCGCATTTATAAATAATTATTGTGTGTATGTACATAAGGTTTGTCAAACAAAAATAAAAATTAGTTAGGGTTACTGTTTGCGTCATCAAAATGTGATGAATAATCAAAATTGTAACTCATCCGCTTTGTTGAGACATCCTCTTTCCAACTCAAAAATAGGTCTAGAAATGTGGTTGATTGCAAATTTCTTCCTCACTTGTCAGGCTGATAGATTTTTTCACCGAGTTAATGGTATCCAGCTGACTGATTTCATTGTCATACTTATCGACATATAACGATGATGTCATCTCTTATAGAAAACACCTTAACGGTAAAGTCACCAGACAGATTTTCAATGTATGACAAACGCATCAGTCAATAATAGTCCTACTGGACTCATTGCAATGCTGTCCATTTGTCAAAAGTGAATTGAAGGCCGTCAAGCTGGAAAGACTAATCTCACTGTAGCTGTGTGGGATTGATATTCTAATCCTGTGATTGCCTGGTATAATATCTAATCAGCTGTAGAAACAATGGCAGAGGTTTCAGATAAGCTGAAATTAGAGTTTAACAATAGCCTGTGGATTTCTCTTGCTTCATGCGAACTGATAGATACGAAAAGACTGATTCTAGTTCACTGCGAACATGATGGGGAGTGAAAGCTGTTGGCAAAATGTCTCTCAAAAGATCGTGAAAAGTAGTAGGCGACAATCAGACAGTACTTTAGAGAAACGAGTTGCAGTAAAACAGTGATAAGAGCAACCATTTTTGAGAGGGGCAATACTTTAATCACCTCTCAGAAGAGATCAATAAAACGTTGAAGTGAACACTTAAAGGATCAGACCAACTGGCCTCCTGCAATGCTGAATTCGCGCATCGTCTAACACCCACCTAATGGCATGTAAACATTACCTCCCTAAACTGTAAGTGAGGTTGGAATTCCTGTTTCTGATCTAAAATAAAATAAACCACCTGGACGTGACGGTATCACTTGTTACCAGAAGACAATATCGTCGATTTAGACGATGTACTAGGTGAGGACGCTGACAAAATGTACAGTCCGCAGAACAATTTGAGCAAAAATCTCAGCGTACAATCAGCAAACTGTAAGGTGGGCTGCAGGACATCTCTAGTCATGATAGAGTGTGTTGTTGAATATTTCATTTATGTGGGAAATTGGACTGACCCTAATGGACAGGTTGCTGATAAATTCTCAACAAGGATCCGAAAAGCCCGAGTGGAATTTACAACTTAGGTCGTCTCTAGGGTGGGAGTGATTTCCAGTTATCCATTAAGGGATGTGTGTACTGCACAATAGTTTGTTCAGTCCTTTATGGCTGTCTTTAACCACAGGTGTTCGTGTTGCGTCTTCATTTTGTGGTGTAACATTGAGGTTAGGTAAGGACGTCAAGTCAATAGATGAGATTGCAGGTCTGAATCGACAATGTCACGTGTGCCAAGCTATCCCCTTCGACGACCAGAGTTAGCTGTCACGGGGTTGGGATAGGAAATTGTTGGAGGTAGCCAAACCAAAATCTGTAATCAATTCGTCTTTCAGCCACATTGGGAGGAGCTAACTGACTCACTGGGGTCCTCGAGACGCTTGGAACCAATGGGTGGAGACTATTGGTGATATGGCTTGAAATCGTATTCTGTGGCGCACATTCATTCTCTTTATGAACTATTGTACTAATCACATTCTCCACGTACTTACGCTACCTACCGTAAGCAATTGTTCGTTATAGTTCCTTTGAGTTTTCACTTTTCGATACTTTTTCTATATGGTAGATTGAGTGTTGCAACTTGAACTGTTTCACTTGTATGCAAAGTTACACGGTGAAAACTCAGTCTGTCAACCAGTATTATTGAACAGGTAGGTCGGCGTGATTTAGCATATATCGTGTTGTTAAGCTGACCTTCTTGATTGTTACGTACGACTTCAAGCAGATGAAGTCCTAGAGGCTATGAACAGATTTAGTCTTACTTTGGCACTATCCTGCAATAAACAATCACAACTCTTTACCTAACTATTAAGCATCAAGTTTTGTTATGATCATAAAACCATCGGTTCACGGGATCTGAATGACCCATATTTTCCAACATCTACCTTTTCGCAATATGATGCTGCAGTGAATAACAGTTCTCGCAAATGATTTGGGTAACTTTATGGACTCACAGTGTTATAAAGTAATATTTACTGATGACGTTTCGAGCACAATTTATTGCTCATAATCATATCAAGTTAATCACACGACTTCCTAAATTCATTTATACAGTTCCATTGTTTTTCACTTGATTTGATTGGTAGTATTATTTTCCATATTTCAGGGATGAGTGATGATTCATTCCTATTGCATGTGTTGGGTGTAGATTCGATGAACAAAGATTCAGTAATCAACCTCTCTCTCCACCTACCTAGATTACTTTTTAGAATTTTAACCCTCTCCCACCCTATTGTGTGGTTGTGTGTTAATGCATGCATTGCAATTGCCGAGCTTTTTTCTAAATTACTTATCTTTTCTGGGTCAACCATTCTTACCTTAGCTAAATTCTTATGTTCTGACAATCTGACTACCCCTGACCTACTAGTTTGACCTATGTAGTTGACCTCACAGTCATTGCAGGGTATTTTGTAAATTATATTATTTTGTCTAATTGGGTCCACTGGGTCCTTTAACCTGTAGTGACCCGTTTTATTACTCATCATCGCAATATACTTTCATTGTGTAATTGTACTTCGATTTGTTTATTACTCTAAATCTTGCATCTTAACAATTGATACTTTTTGTACTCGCTCGATTTTTGAATTGTTGATTGCTGCTATAATACACTATCGTATTCCTTCGCAAGTGCCTTTTGAATTACGTTGCGGATGTCGAGTAATCGCAACGTTAGGGCACAAATATAAATGCGAGGAAGTATTAGGATATGTGTATACGCTAGTTCAGTCAAAAATTCAGCAGCAACAAATTGGTGCGCCCGACGATAACTTGCTGACTCCGACGACGACGACTTTTGACCTCGACGCGTTGTTACGCTTGTTGGATTAATAAAACTTTAATCTTCGTGGATCTATATATTTATTAGATATCCCGAACTCATTTTTGTGTTTGCTCATAGCGCAACAAATTGGCGAGCCCGACAGAGCTGATTGATGGACTACATCATTTCGAAGTATACACAGTGGAATAAGTAATCTTTGCCATCGCATTAACTTTTATAACTTCATAACATTTGGATGTATAATTACTAATATTTCTGCTAAAAGTACCTCCGGACCAGGCGGCACAGCAACTGCTATCCCAGTTCACTCTGATAGTCAAGCAGCTGGCTGTTATGCAACACCTCAATTCCAGTTCTCTGTCCTCAAGCTTCAGCATTGTCTACAGGTGTGCAA